CTGATGTAAAGCTGATGTGTTACCTTGTAGTCTTACAGACATTACCTGTGCTACCTTTATTTGATGGTCTGTTTTCACCTCATACTTGCACTGGTCTGGGATCCTTATGTGCAGTCCTATTCCACCTGTATTCAGTCCCTTGTAGTCTGTGTGGTAGTACTGAACCTCTGCTCATCATTTCAGTGGTGGGCACCCTGCCACAGCCTTTTGCTTACCTTGCCTTGTCTGGTAGTAACTGGGGTAGCGACCTGGGAACAGAAAGCAGCTAACCCATCTCTACCATCTTGAACTCAGAGAGACCTGCCTCCGTTCTATAGACTCCAGCTCCTGTAAACCCAGCTGTGGTCAAGGTATGTTCTCTTCAGTTGTGGTCATCATGTCTGTAACAATTATTTTTGTTTTTAAAGCTATAACAAGAGGAGGGGAGATTGTGACATTTATCTGTACCCCCTCCATTCAAAGAATGCCTTGCATTCACTGAAAAGAATTCAAGACTTTTTCTGCATAGAAGAGGGGGGCCAAGTAAGCAACCCCCTGTAATATTTGTACTGTAGCCAGAACTACAAATCTCAGCACCTGACATCGGCAATAGCAGGGGAGTGTGGGCTGAAAAAGAAGTAAAGGTTTTAACAAACACTGTAAAGAAGATTGTTTCATTGGAGGTAAGTTATTTTTCTGTGCAAATACACAAAAATAAGAAACATTTTGTAATGAATCTGAGATGTGATAACACGTGTGGCTGCTGTCAAACAACAAAGTTTGATATACCCAAACCTAAAAACATACAATATCATGAAATGAAGCAGTGAACATAACAAAAACATACAAGCAAATGACCAAAACAGTGTTCAATGTGCCAAATGTGAAGTCTCTCTTAAATCAAAGTCCATACATATTTAAATAAAAAAGATCTTCCACCAGTAGATCCTTGTAGTGTGATGAAAAAACACTTATTGCCGCCATCTTAATCAAATGCACACCAGATCATAAGCTGTAAGTACAGCAGATACAGCATGTTTCTCAGGCACAAATCCTCCCCAGGTGTATGCGCTTCCACTCCGGAATTACTCCTCTTATGCCCCGTACACACAATAAGAAAATCATACTAAAAATTTTGCAGAACCACTGATCGAGTGATTTTCTCTTCGTTGATGAGCAGGATGTTTTTAAACCGCTAATGATATTGTGAACGAAAAAATCTGGTTGAACAACAGTGAAAAATGTTGTCGTTTCGCATACGAACGACCGATTTTCTATACGGTGGTATGACAGTCGTACGAAAAAAATCTATCAAGCGCGATCATGCATGAGCGGAAACAGTAGACGAGACAGATGTTTATGTCCAAGGAATCTTCGTAAACACGAATGAAAAATCCAAATGTTAAAAGTAGATTGGCCTAATGAGATAATGAAACCAGAATTCTGCATATTATATTTTTATGTATCACTATGTATATTATTATTATACAGCAGGCATGTCCAAAGTCGGCCCGCGGGCCATTTACGGCCCGGGGCTCGGTTTAATGCGGCCCTCCAACAGCCCTCCCTGCTCTGTGTAATGTGGCCCTCCCACAGCCCTCCCTTCTATGGCAGCCAGTCTTCTGCTTGAGAACAGAGGGCAGTGCGCATGCCTGACTGCGGCGCGTTCTCCCTGGTCTGTGTAAATGCGGCTGTCGCACGGCCCTCCCTTCTGTGGCAGACAGTCTTCTGCTTGAGAGCAGTGCGCATTTGCGTGACTGCGCTGTGCTGGGAGCGACAGAGGGTGGTGACGTCAGGGCCGGGCTTCCAGCGTGAAGTGTGTTTCTCTTCCCCTCCCAGCTGCCGAGCAGAGACTTCAGCTCCAGCTACCTTTTTCACCCTTCACATTAGTGCAGGTAAGTTTTTTTTTTTTTAAATTTATTTTCAATACATTGTGAAAACTCAGCTGTCAGTTGATCTTAATGTTATGAAATGAAAAGTATGTCGTTTGCAATTAACTTGGCATAAAATAATTTATTTGCATTTAATTGTAATGGTTCAAAGAATGTTTGGAAAAATGTTCGGCCCTCCACCATGTTCACTTCATCCAATCTGGCTCTCTTTGAAAAAAGTTTGGACACCCCTGTTATACAGTATTTATATAGCGCTAAAAGGTTTGCTCAGCGCTGTACATTATAGTGGGGGGACGGAACATGAAACAATACAGTAACAAAAAAAAACACGAGGGATTCAAGGGCCCTGCTCTTTCGAGCTTACAATCTAGGAGGGAGGGGATAGTGGTACAGGAGCAAGTGGCTGTGGGGGATGGAGTGGTGGTGGGAGGAGTGGAGGAGATCAGCTGTTCGGTGAGGGCGGGGGTAGGCTTCCCTAAAGAGATGGGTTTTCAGGGTGCGCCCTAAAGGTGAGGAGGGTAGGTGACAGTCTGATGGATTGGGGTAGTGAGTTCCAGAGGATGGGGGAAGTCCTGGAGAAGTCCTGCAGTCGGACGTGGGAGGTGGAGACCAGGGAGCTAGAAAGTAGGAGGTCTTGTGAGGAGCGAAGATTACAGGTAAGGTGGTATTTGGGTATCAGGTCGGTGAGGTAGTTTGGGGCAGCGTTATGAATGGCTTTGTATGTCTGTGTTAGTAGTTTGAATTTTAGTTTGTTGGGCAATTGGAAGCCAGTGGAGGGAATGACAGAGGGGGTGGCAGAAGCAGAGCGGTTGGTAAGGTGGATGAGTCTGGCCGCTGAGTTCAGGATAGACTGAAGCAGGGATAGTCTGTGATGAGGTAGGCCGGTGAGAAGGGAGTTGCAGTAGTCCAGGCGTGAGATAATAAGGGAGTGAATGAGTTGTTTAGTAGTGTCTGGGGTTAGGAACAAACGTATTTTGGAGATGTTGTGGAGGTGGAGCCTGCATGAGTTTGCCAACAATTGGACATGGGGTTGGAAGGACAGGTTTGAGTCTACAGTGACACATAGGACTTTGGCTTGTGGGGTGGGACTGATGGTGGCGTTGTTGGTTGTGACGGAGAGGGGGGGGGGGGAGGGGCACGGGCTGGGGGGAAAATCAGGAGCTCGGTTTTGGATAGGTTCAATTTGAGGAAATGGAGCGACATGCAGTCTGATATGTCGTTGAGTAGGTGGGTGATACGGACGGAAACTGAAGGGGTGGAGAGGTAAATTTTCGTGTCATCGGCGTAGAGGTGATAGTTGAAGCCGTGGGAGTGTATCAGTTTGCCGAGGGAGGAGGTGCAGATTGAGAAGAGAAGGGGTCCAAGGACAGAGCCTTGGGGGACCCCAACAGAGAGGGGGGGTGGTAGCATTATAGGTAACGCTGAAGGAGCGTTGGGATAGATAGGAGTAGAGCCAGGAGAGAGCGGAGTCTCTGATGCCGAGGGAGTGTAGTATCTTAAGGAGGAGGGGGTGGTCAACTGTGTCGAAGGCCGCAGAAAGGTCGAGGAGTAAGAGGACTGAGTAGTGGCCATTAGCTTTGGCGGTTAGCAGGTCATTAATGATTTTGAGTACGGCGGTTTCGGTGGAGTGTAAGGGATGGAAGCCAGACTGTAGTGGATCGATTAGGTTGTTGTCAGTGAGGTGGGCGTTTGTGTGACTGTAGACCAGCAATGGGCAAACTACAGCCCGCGGGCCGTATACGGCCCGGCGGAACTTTTAATCCGGCCCGCGGAGCTAGGCTCCCGCTAGGCTCCTCTCACAGTCCGCCCTGAAGACCGGTGTAGCATGAAAATCTGTCTCCTATGAGGATCTGTCCCCCTCGACGTATCTGCGCATGTGCCGGAGATCGCCGATCGGCTGCTAATGCCTGAAACTGGCACATGTGCAGATACGTCGAGGGGGACAGATCCTCATAGGAGACAGATTTTCATGCTACACCGGAACGTCGTGGGAACACGGCGAGAGGAACGCGCGGAGCAAAGGTAAGTGAATTGACACAGGGGGGACTTAATATGGGGGACGAATTAATATGGGGAATGAATTACTATAGGGGGGATGAATTACTATAGGGGGGATGAATTACTATAGGGGGGATGAATTACTATATGGGGGATGAATTACTATGGGGGATGAATTACTATATGGGGGATGAATTACTATGGGGGATTAATTACTATGGGGGATTAATTACTATGGGGGATTAATTACTATGCTTACTATGGGGGAATATTACTATACTTACTATGGATGACACATACACATCATTCATCTACTCTTGGTCCGGCCCCCGGGTCCAATCGGGTCCAATCGATTTTCTAATTGTGTATTCCCACCTTTAGGCAGCAGTAAAAGGCAACTCCCACTGGAACAGATAGAGCTCATCAAGCTGCCAGCAATAGTGTTGTAGTTTAAATAAAGGTTTATTGTAGAGGAGAGACAATCAACCAGTTAAAACATTGTGACCAGACCAATGTGTGACTAATGTGTAACATTAGCCCTGAGACTTTGTCCGCTTGACACTCTGTCCTTTATGACAGAGTCTCAGTATGTATATAAACGGAAGATCATCTATTTACATCCATTTGTCCATAGATATGCACTGTTGTCCATTTTTCATCCGTTAATGGACAGATGAAAAACGGACATGCGGAACACTTGAAAGGAGCCTTACACTGCAAGGATGGTACACTACTGGATGGAGGAAGATCTTTTATTTGAATATATATGAATTTTGTATTGATGCACTGATATATCGGCCGAAAATAGGATTATTGGCATTTTTCCAATAGTGGTAGGGTGGGGTTAAGGAAAGTGTCAATAATGATAATTGACTTCAATGCAAAATCCCGTCCCATTGACTTCAATGCAAAAGCACCTCGTATTGACTCCAATGCTAAAAAGTTTCTATTTAACCGCCTCCCGCCCGCCACATAAGGAAATGACGGGTGCAAGGCAGTTCTCTTGTTCTGGAAGAACGTCATATGACGTCCTCACACTCTAACCGTGCGTGTGCATCCCTAGGAGCGCGCAGCGTGGCAATCGGTGGTGCGCTGTGTCCCTGGGACACAGCGGATCACCGATGAATGGAAAGAGCCGAAGACATCGTGTCCAATCACAGCTGATCACATGTAAATAAGGAAATGCCGGTTATCGGCATTTCTATCCTCATGAGCTGTGAGGAGAGCCGGTAATCATCATTACTCAGAGGGGACATGTACATTGATCATCAGGGCACTGATGATCAGTGTGCCCTGATGATCAGTGTAGCCCCAGCAGTGCCACCTGTCAGTGCCCATCAATGCCACCTGCCAGTGCCCATCAGTGCTACATCAATGCCACATATCAGTGCCTACCAGTGCACATAAATGCCACATATCAGTGCCCACCAGTGCACATCAATGCCACATATCAGTGCCCATCTGAGCTGCCTTTCAGTACCACCTATCAGTACCAGTCAGTGTGCCTATCAATGCCAGTCAGTGACGCCTATCAGTGCCATATATGAGTGCTGCCTTTCAGCCAGTGATGCCTGTCAATGCCCATCAGTGCCACCTACATCAGTGCCCCATCAGTGCCCATCAGTGCTACATCAATGCCACATATCAGTGCCTACCAGTGCACATAAATGCCACATATCAGTGCCCACCAGTGCACATCAATGCCACATATCAGTGCCCATCTGAGCTGCCTTTCAGTACCACCTATCAGTACCAGTCAGTGCTGCCTATCAATGCCAGTCAGTGACGCCTATCAGTGCCATATATGAGTGCTGCCTTTCAGTGCCCACCAGTGATGCCTGTCAATGCCCATCAGTGCCACCTACCAGTGCCCCCTATCAGTGCAGCCTCATTAGCGCACATCAGTGAAAGAGAAAAATCACTTATTTACAAACTTTTATAACAGAAAAAGAAAAAACATTTTCTTTTCAAAATTTTCAGTTGTTTTTGGTTTGTTTAGCAAAAAATAAAAAACCCAGAGGTGATTAAATACCACCAAAAGAAAGCTCTATCTGTCTAAAAAAAATGATATAATTTCATATGGGTACAATGTTGCATGACCGCGCAATTGTCATTCAAAGTGGAACAGCGCTGAAAGCTGAAAATTGGCCCAGGCAGGAAGGGGGTATAAGTGCCCTGTAGGCAAGTGGTTAAAGTGTTACTAAACCCAGGATCCTGCATTCACTATATCTGGTCTTCCACAGTACACAGAACATGGAAATGCAATTATTTTAGTAAATATAAACTGCTAAATAACTTTTCTCATCAGCAGTATATACACACACAGTCTGTGTGTCCAGCAGAGCACTGGTTAAAGCTTGTAGGAGGCGTTCTGCTCTAGGTTTGTTGCCGTTTCACGAGTGCATGCAAATATAAGGTTTGATATGTTGGATATCTATTTACTCGCTGCAACCTCGTCTTTTATATTTTCAAAAAAAATTGGATAAGTTATTGCTTTTTGTTACCCTAAAATTAAATTAGGTTTATTTTTTACTGAAATTGTGATAATATTGTGTGACATAAAAAATTGGAACTACCGCTATTTTATGCTCTAGGGTCTCTGCTTTCAGAAAATATACAATGTTTGGGGGGGTTTGTGTCATCTTCAGGCCTAAAACGATTTTTTAAACGTGTGCAAATAACGCAAAAACAGCTCTGGCAACGAAAGGGATAAATGATAAGTCCGACACTCCCCTTTCCTGAGGAGCACCCAATCTGTGCTCATTACACTGCGAGGTCTCTCTCCTCCCTGCTAGTCCCTGGGTACTAGGAGAGGCAGGGAGGGGAGGAGGAGATGAACAGCACAATGTTAAAAATATTGAAACGATTAAGTCGCTAAAAAGACCCTTTTTTTTTTTTTAAAAGCCCTAGACATTACTTAAAGCAAATTTAAATACAGTTTTGGTTAAAATGTATTTTTATCAGGACAAGTAGATTGGGACACCGATTTAGTTTTTTCAAAAATTTCTACACCCCTGCTCAGAGAAGACAGGATCAAACAGCCTTTTTACACAATGCAGATGATTAACCCCTTAGGTTCCACGGTGAGTATAATAAGCATACTTTACTGCATATACAGACTGATTTTACAGTTGTGGGTTTAGTAACACTGTTTTAATTTTCCATATATTTCATTTTCTGTCCAATTTTTTGTGTGTTACTTTCAATGAAAGTTATTTTTCATTACTGGGCTGTATTTTTTTTTTTTTTTTTTTTTTACTCAGAAAAGATCTTTATTAAAAGAGATAAACATGTGTAAAATACAAAGAAGCAGTACAAGCAACACCATACCAAAGTGCAATCTTAACCACTTGAACTCTGGAAGATTTACCCCCCTTCCTCACCAGGCCATTTTTTGCGATACGGCACTGCATTACTTTAACTGACAATTGCGCTGTCATGCAAAGCTGTACATAAATTAAATTTATGTAATTTTTCCCCCACAAATAGAGCTTTCTTTTAGTGGTATTTCATCACCTCTTCAATTTTTATGTTTTGTGCTTTAAATGAAAAAAAACACAAGACGAAGAAAAATTATTTTCTGCTATAAAACATTTCTAAATAAAAAAAATTTTAAAAAAATCTAATTTCTTCATAAATTTAGGCCAAAACGTATTCTGCTGCATAACGTTGGCAAAAAAGCCCCCAACAGGCGTATATTGATTGGTTTGCGCAAAAGTTATAGCGTCTACAAACATCTAGGATGGTCAAAGGGTTAATTGTGTGCCAATCCAGTGTTTTTGTGTGCACTGTGTACTGTTTTTACTAAGCATTCTGCTAGATTTTATTCCCTGATAAAACCTAGCAGATCACTGTTGACATAACACAGCTCTGCCTTGTTTATCTAGGCAGAGCTATGTTATGTCAGTCTCCTCAGAGATCAACAGGTGCCGGCGTTCATCCATTGGCCGGCATCTTTGGATCGGTTTCTGCTGTGTCCAATAACAGCATAAGTGGTGCTCCGGCGACAGGTGCGCATCCACCAGTGGCCAAAGTGCAAAATCACATTTATATACATGTTTTTGCACAGAACGTCCCCCCTGTAGCAACAAATCTGCTATAGGGTGGACAAAAAGTGGTTAAAAGAGATGACCGTTTACATGGATAACTTAGTCATGAAGCAATGCAGTATATAAGGATAAACAAAAAAATGTACCAATCAGGAGTTCAGATTCATCTACATTATATGTGGAGGATTGTTCTCTAACCATCTATCCCATATCTTATTATATTTAGCCGGATGTTTTCTTTGAATATATATAAACCTTTTTGTAGGGTAGGATAAGATTAATAGCAGCAATTCAATGCTGTAATGTTGGAGACGAATCCCTAAGCCAGACCCTTGATATCAACATTCTGGCAACAAAAAGTGTTTCTTGAAGAGAGACATGCTGATGTTTATCACTGTCTTGATTAGGAAGAAGTCCCAGGAAACATTGTTTATTGCATAGGGTTAGCCCATACGATCATGTAGAAACAGAACCATCTGAGTCCAATAACATTGAATGACAGAGCAGTACCATATTAAGTGATAGAAAGAACCACTAGGATCTCCATATCGAGGACAAGAAGGGTCATATTGGGGCAGATACTTTGCTAACTGAATAGTAGTTAGGTAGGCTTTATGTAAAATATACAGGTGGGTGAGGCAATTGGAGAGTTTTGGGGAGACCAGTTTGCTAGATTCTTAAACATCCTCCCATTCATCATCCTTTAGCTCCCAACAACCATTTAGTTTTTACCTGGTAAGCTAAATCAGCAGCCGCCGGCTGGAGAAGAGAGTTGTAGAAAGTGGATGTTAGCTTTTTGGGGCCATCATCTAGGCACACATGCAATAAATGAAGAGATTCAAGAGATGGCAGTGAGTCCCCAAATTGAGTATGCAGTGCATGACGGAGCTGGAGAACAAAAGAACATGGAGCTGAGCAATGGCTTAACACCACTAGTTGTTATGGTGTGGGATAGATATATAACTCCTTTATCAATCCATAACTCATGATTGGGTGAGCAGTTCTGGTGAACAAACATTGCCCAAAAGAGGCGTATGAGCATGTAGGGGGTCGGACTTTTGTCTTGCAAAAGGTCCAATTCCTATATTTTACAATGGTGATAAACCATATGCTTGAGGCATCCCAGGTGGGTGGGCTCACACATGTCAAGGATTGGTTGGGATAGATCACCAACCCCTTAGGGCATGGATACGCCAAGGAGATATAGCGATCTTTATCCTCTTTATCAAAAAGAAAAAAGTGGGTCAGTTGAGCAGTTAGATAGTATACAGTTAAGATCTGGTATAGCAGTTCCAACCAGATCCGTGGGGTTCTTCAGGGTCCACATGGATAATTTGTGTTTTTCCCAAAGTATTGAGAATAGATTCCAAAGATTTGAAAGTACGAAGAGGCAAATATACAGGGGAGAGCCAGAAAATATTTCAGATCCAGTGCATCTAATAAAGAACAACCCACATCATCCAGATACAAAAGCATGTCATCTGCATAAAGGCTGATTGTTTCAACTAGGCTTCCCAACTGCAGGCTGATTTGAGGGGGTGTTCTCTAAGGGCAATTGCCAGTGGTTCCACTGCTAGGGTATAAGCAATGAAAACAGAGGGCACCCTTGACAAGTGCCTCTTGACAGGAGGAAAGGGTTGAAAATTCTGCCATTAACCTGAATCCAGGCCACTGGGGCCTGATATAGGAGTTGAAGTCATTTGAGGAAATTCTGGCCAAAACCATACCAGCATAGGCATTCCCATAGGTACTCAAAGGCTTTGGCAGCATCAAGGCTGACAACTAATCAGGAGCCAGCAGGTTAGGAAGCAAATCGTGTAAAGAATCCATGACTGTAGATTCATGGGAAAAAGTCTGAGTCTGTTTAAAGCTATGCATTTTTTATTAATGGGCATAAAGCCAATTTGGCCTGGAAGGATTAGAGTAAGAATCACACTTACTGAGGTGTAGGGCCAGAATATTTAGCCAGTTGCATTTGAAAAAAAAGCGCATCAGCCTGTTAATTTGATTTTTGGTTTCGGTACACCACTAGAACTTTGATTTCAAAAAAGAGACTTAATGTTTGGCACATTGAACACTGTTTAATACATTAATTTTGTACGTTTTTCTTATACTCAAAGACTCTGCATCATTTCTTTGATTTAAAAAGAGACTTAATGTTTGGCACATTGAACACTGTTTAATACATTAATTTTGTACGTTTTTCTTATACTCAAAGACTCTGCATCATTTCACAATATTGTAAATATACAAAAATTGTTTTGTCCATACTTCAGCTTTAAATAACATCCCAGTGAGGGATAAAGCATGAAATGCAGCTTTCGCTGAAATACTCACTTCTTCTCTGGCCCAGACCCCCAAAGACCACTGCACTAGTTCACCAGCACCGATTCTCCTTAACCCTGGGACTCGAGGAAGAATGCGGTAGAACACGACACTATGTCATGCCTCTCTCTGCAGCTTTCAAGACCACCCCACCAAAAAAGAGGCATAAGAGCACACAGGGATGTTCAATTTGTAGCACCCGGGACATGTAGTTCTGGGCACCGGGCAGGTAGTTTTTTTTTATCCTTCAACCCTGCTGCGGTCAAGCAGCAGGGCTCAGCTGTCAGCTGGAACCATTTGGGTGGGCAGTACTGCCACTGATTGCTTCCACAAAGTGCCAGCCTCCCCTCCACCCATTGTCTCCCGGGCGCAGCTTGCCCATCTGCAGACCTGGGACCGGCTCACGGCTAGAGGGGAGGGAGGACACATCTGCGCCCCTCCCATTCTTGTCCTGACCCGGAAGTGATGTTATGTCACTTCTGGGTCCCCGTTCAAAGATTTCCTGGCCATCGTGGCCGGGAAAGAATGTAATGCAGTGCGATGTGCACTGCCTTACATTCAGGGAAGGCATCCAGGATGTTTTAGATAAACAATGGTCTCAATAAAGAGAACCTGTCCCCTATGTTAAAAAAAAAGTAAAAAAAAAAAAAAAAAAGTTTTTTTGTATTACCAAAGTTACACCAAAAGCACACAACTTCCTCCACCCCCACCCCCCCCCCCCCAAAAAAAAAAATTGAGGCCCTTCCCCACATATACAACACATACAAACGTAAAAGCACACGCTGGGCAGACCTCCTTCGTAATGTTAAAATGATGACCTATAAAGGGGCTTTAAAAGTGTAGCCTATAGAAAATACTGGGTACTGAAGTTTGTTGCATTTCACAAGCGCACAGAAATGTAAGTTTTGACATGTTGGATATCTATTTACTCAGTGCAACCTCAAACTGAGCATTCATTAAAACATGTCAAAACACAGAACCACCGAACAGAGGGGTGAAGCAGAACACAGAGATATATAATCAACCCAGATGTAGCAATGTTGGTAAAACTCAGATCTTTTATAAAGAATGCATTCATCTCCTTCAGACCCAGGAAAACACGGAGATAGGCACTTGTACATCCAAAAGACCTGACACCCAAATGCAAGCAAGTAACTGGCATATGCACTACCACTTAGCAAGGAATGCAAAGCTCTGACCTAATAAAGGAGGGCAAATTCTACAAGTCAAGACTCAGTAGTTTACCTTCATCTTAAAGTGAAACTGCACTGCATCTGAGCACCACAAACCAAAAATGCTATTTAAATAATTGTTAATACTCAAAGCAAACTCACCCATCCATCCATGTCTCCATGCTTTATTTAGCTGAGAAATCATTTTGAAAAACACCCCCTCGCATTTCTGGCTGTAGACATCTTACGTAAAGGCAGATGATTCATGCAGCATTTACATCCTGGAATCCATCTGCCCTTAGATCAGGCATTGGCTGATCTGAGAACATCCCCCTTCCCCCCTCACCTCCTGAAGACTGCTGGGATGTATGACATCATTTGCCTAGGCATGGGAACCAGGAAGTGAAGAAATGTATAAAAAAAAAAGCAAAACAAGCAAATATGATATACTTTCCTATCCGTTTAGTAATGCTAGTAGCATAAGGAATACTAATAGTGCATGTTGATAGACAGTGTCGTTTCGATTTAAGGAAAAAGGGAATTCTTTTCAGGACAGTGGATACACATTTTGGACATAGTGGACAACTGATTCACAAGAGGCAACTAGAACAGCTATCACTGAACAGGGCTGGGGACCATCAACACAATCTGAGTATATTATTTTACATATAATGCCATTTTAACATCTCTACCACAGCATTTGACAAGAATTCACACCCTCAGTCAGGTAAATCAAAAGATTAACACCTATGAAGCCTTCCTGACACAAAGGATGGGTAAATGTAACTAGAACAGGGCGATTCCTTACACACCCCAACCTTGGATTGATCCAAGAACCCCAGTTCTTGGAAATAACATCTGCCTTTCATTGTGACTAGATTAACGTGTCAGTGTGGACAAACTGTAAATGCTGAGCTATTTTCCAGACACTCATTAGAACTGAAGAAGTGGCTTGGATCAGCTACGAAACATCTTCGATTTGCAGAACAAGTCCATTTGAATGTAACCAAATGCTACTTTATATATTATGACCTGGATAAATGAGAACCTTCACAGACACCATAGACAAATTACTTCAATTTGTAACGAACAACAAAACCTCATGTGTAAAAGACAGAAAACTCACGCTCTTATGACATCTTCTTGGTAAAAAATTGCACGCACGGTTTCAACAGGCTTTGATCGACGTTTTGGTGGATGCACATAGGTGGGTTCTCTTTTTGGTGGAAATGCAGCATACACATCATACCAGATTGGCTTCTCATTTTGCTTTATCACTCCTGCACGGGCCAAATCTCGTGTTCTAAAAAATAGAAAAATATAGAAATTTAAAGAATGCAGAAATAAACAGCACAATGTCATGTACTCATATTTTTTTTCTTTTTAATGAAGAGACTGCATACATATCAAAATGCTACTGCAAATACAAACAGAACAATTAAGTAAGGCAAAAGGTAATGAACATATATACAAAAATCAATATCCACTAAACGTTCAGTAAACCAACATCTAAAAAAAACTGTTATGGGTCATTGCATTTTGCATATTGTTATTTGTACCACCTTATGAAATATGCCCAAGTTCTGATGCCTGTCTATGAGGCTGTCTATGAGAATTCAGACCTACTAGGGTGAAGGACGTTTTACCATTAAATTTACATTGTAAACATCTGTCAGCACAAGGACACACAAGAAAACATTTGCTGCCTATGTGTCACATTCATACTGCAACTCAACCTAGAGATGTGTTAAAATGCAGATATGCTGCATTTCAATGCAACCTGCAATGCCAAATCCCATGAAAAAGTACAACACTGCGGTACATTGCTATGAATGACGTGTACGTTTTGTACACTTCAAATAAAGTTTGTCCATAACAAACAAACAAAACAAAATGAAAAAAGGAGCTGTGTGATGTGCTGAATCATGCACCACAATGCCGCCTACCACAGCTGGAGCAGAGAGCTGCTGGATTGGTAAAGAGGCAGCTCTGTGTTCCAGTGTGAATTCACCATAAAGAGCACAGAGGATAAAATTAAGATGACTATATAGCATTCCTCTGCATTTTTCAGAGAGGGGAAGAAAGGATAAAAAGAAACTAGAAAAGCTACAATTTCTGGGGAAATTGTGTGAAGTGTTCTTGCCTCCACCAGTAGTCTACAACTGGAGTGGGCAGAGTAACTGGGTGGAGTGGCTTGAGTAACTGTTGTGTGGTTGGAGTGGCTGGAGTAACTGTGAAAAGGTTGGACTGGGCAGAGTAACTTTATGGAGTGGGCAGAGTAACTGTGTGGAGTATTTGGAGTGAGTAAAGATAGTGGACATTACACTAACCAATTGATCAAATTTAAAAAGTGCACATGGCAAGCTTGATAGGTGTGAAATGTATTTCAACTTTTATTTTTCAGCTCACACTCTAGCTTTTGTCACTCTGCTGCCTGCTCACACACTTGGGTTCCTATGGCAACTCATTCTACAGCAAGGGCAGAGAAGAGCGGTTAAAAACAAACTGCTCCAACTTGCTCACTTCACTGGCGGTTGCCATCTTCAAACGGTTGTAGTTTAAAAATTATAAATCCTACACCAAAGAGCTTTATATTGTGAGAATCAGACCTACATTTGGATGCATAGTATGTCTCTGAAATATTAAAAATGAAGGCACAGTCGTAGTTTAGAAATTGCCCTTTAAATTTGAGGTGGCTAGAGTGCAGTTTCAATGAATGTCAATGGGCGGCGCGAGTTGCAAACAAATGGCCATATTGTGAAAACTATCAGGACTATGGCTTAGCTGTGGACATTTTTAGTGGCAGCAGGGATAGCTGAACGTTTTGATATAATATTTGTGTAGGTGGGCTTGAAAATGAGGGAGTGATGGCAGTTTAGAAATCATGTCCTGATTTTTCAGCTCACACTCTAGCTTTTGTCAGCTCCCACTCTAGTTTTGAACATTCCGCCATTCATTCCTATGGGACCAATTTCACCACAAAAATGCCGATATTTCGTAAACCATTTGTAATCACTATTTCCAGATTCAATAAATAATTGCAAATCATCACAACCAAAGTCTTCTTAATTAGATTTATGGATTTAATCAAATGCTTCTATGTACTTCTATTATAGTGTATTTGAACTACTGAGTGTTATGTACTTGGCTAGGTTTACTCATAGTCCCAGCAAAAAAAAAAAAAAAAGTTCTAGCAATCATTTAAATAAAAAATGGTTCTGTGGGTGGGCGGATCATGGTCTGTCCTGGCTAGGCAAAATCTATTCTATTAAGATGACCACGCCAACTTTTTTAAGTGTTCTTGCATGGCAAGACCACTTACTGTTATCTCACATATATATTCTTATTATTATAGCCAAATTTACCACCCTAACTCCTCCCACAGTTTTTACACTACATAGACAGTAATATACCGAAACGTGCGGATTGTTTTCGATTGGTGTGCTATTACTTTGTGGAACGTTTCACCGAATGGTTCAAGAAATATCTGCGTTTTGTGGTGAAATTGGTCCCATAGGAATGAATGGCGCAATGTTCAAAACTAGAGTGGGAGCTGACAAAAGCTAGTGTGAGATGAAAAATCAGGATATGATTTCTAAACTGCCATCACTCCCTCATTTTCAAGCCCACCTACACAAATCTTATATCAAAACGTTCAGCTATCCCTGCTGCCACTAAAAATGTCCATAGTTAGGCCATAGTCCTGATAGTTTTCACAATATGACCATTTGTTTGCAACTCACGCCGCCCATTGACATTCATTGAAACTGCACTCTAGCCACCTCAGATTTGAAGGGCAATTTCTAAACTGCGACTGTGCCTTCATTTTTAATATTTTAGAGACATACTATGCATCCAAATGTAGGTCTGGGTCTTGTGATTCTCACAATATAAAGCTCTTTGGTGTAGGATGTATAAATTTAAACTACAACCGTTTGAAGATGGCAACCGCCAGTGAAGTGAGCAAGTTGGAGCAGTTTGTTTTTAACCGCTCTTCTCTGCCCTTGCGTTAGAGTGAGTTGCCAAAGGAACCCAGGTGTGTGAGCAGGCAGCAGAGTGACAAGCCACTCCACGCAGTTACTCCGCCCACTCCAGTTGTAGACTACTGGTGGAGGCAAGAACACTTCACACAATTTCCCCAGAAATTGTAGCTTTTCTAGTTATTTTTGTTCTTAACAATATCGATAGTATGGTTGGACCTCTCCAGGTTTCAAGCCAAAATAATTAGATGCGTTTTGGTCGGCAAAGGCTATAGATTGTCTAAACAGGTTCTTTTTACACACAAAACAAGGGGTGGTCTCGGCCAGGGACGGACTGACCATTTGGAAACTCGGGCACTGCCCAAGGGCCTGGGGTCAGTAGGGGGCCCCATGAGATACCCCTGGTAACTTTTTGATAGGCTTTTTTGAGCAAGGACACAGGGGCCCATGAGATGCCCCTGATACCTTTTTCATAGGCTTTTTTGAGCAAGGACACAGGGGCCCCATGATCCCCTATTGCCCGGGGGCCCCATGAGTTGTCAGTCTGCCCCTGGTCTCGGCCTCCCGCATCTCGCCTTATATTATCAGGCATCCCAACTTGCACCGTTCTCGGTGGTATACTCTCGCATTAAAAAACCTGAATGGATAAATATGCATAGAATGGCGGTATGATCTATCCCTTTGGACTTAATCAAATGGCAGCCCTCATACCACCGGTCTTAGCCCCAACATTATCACATTCCCTAGCTGAATTTGACAGGGTGCAGAACAACAGTAACCTCATATCACCCTTCTTTCTGTTATCTCATACCTTTAACAATCTGGCTTTCCCTTAGATGTTCTAAACACAATCCCTGGGAGAACTATATGGGCAAGTTGGCCATATTTACTGTGAGAGTTACATTTATGTATGGGCAAAACAATTTTGTACATTTTAAATTTTCCTTCACTTCCTATCCCAAAATCACAAGAGGAAGTTAAAGCAGATCTCCTTAAATTCCCCACTGGAAGATTTCCCCGTACCCCTTAAAGTGTTACTAAACCCACAACAGTAAAATCAGTCTGTATATGCAGTAAAACATGCTTGTTATGCTCACTGTGGAACCTAAGAGGGTAATGCTCCACACTGAGTAAAAAAGCTGTTTGATTCTGACTTCTATGATCCGCCACTTCTTTTACTGTCACCAATCCATCTACCATAGTACAAAGCAGCAGGGGCAACTCTGCACATGCTCTGTTTGGTTAGTTTGTTCCGTCCAAATATGTAAAACAGATTTTCTAAAATCACTTAAAAGGATACGTTCACCTTTATACAAAAAAATAATAAACCCACATTTTTTTTTTTGCAGGTAACAAAAATGTGTATTTATTATTTTTTGTTATAGGAGCCTGTAAACCATTTCACCATGCAGGTCTCCTACAGATCTGTCAGTATATCTACTTGCCCATACGAAATGTACAGGCAAGCAGATATACTGACAGGAAGAGTCAATGAACTACCACGGCGCTCCACAGCACCGTGGTGGTTCATTGAGAACTACAAGCGCACAGCCTCTAAGGCTGCCGGGACTTGTAGTTTCTCATTCACAGAACACAGTGAATGAGTGACAAGGCCAGGCGGGTGGAGCACCGCATGGCCACGTTCTTTTTTTTTTTAATTTGACAGCTGAGGGGGGAGAAGTTCCCCTGCTAGCTGTCAAAGCAGGGACCGCTGCAGGTGTAACATGTTATGAAAAGTGAACTTATCTTTTAAAGTGGTTCTAGAGGCTGAAGATTTCTTTACCTTAAAGCATTCTCTATCAGTCACAGCCTGGGAGGACAGAATGGGGGTGGGGCCAAGCCATGCTCCGTGTGTCAATGGACACACAGAGTGCAGCCCGAGAGCGAGCATGCACGAGTGCCCGCAAAGGAAGAGGAGCCAGGAGTGCTGGCAGGGGACCTGAGAAGAGAAGGATTGGAGCTGTTCTAAGCAAAACCATTATACAGAACAGGTAGGAATAGAATGTTTGTTAATAAAAAAAAATCATTTAGAATCACTTTAACGAGTAAGACAAAATATGTCTCTGACCACTTCAGACACACACATCATGAGAAGGAGGCTGATTTACACTAGATTTTGACAAATCACACTTCATGACATTGGTCAATATTTAGCTAATGTACTTTTTTGAGCTGCACATGTAGAATAATGGGACTCTGAGCACTGTTATGCTTTGGGAATCATGAGACAAAATGCTGTTTATGGGGGCTTCTACTGTGTGCGTGCAGTAAGCCTGTGTCTAGTTAACACCAATGCAGTGTGCATTTTGTCTGTTTTGTAGTGCATTTTGCATGCTCACTTTTTTTCAGCATTTTTGTTTTGTTAAAAGGGGGAATGTTTTGGTTCCTGGGCAGAATAAAAGTGCAGCAAAAACAGACTACATGTGTTTCAGCAGCATCTCCATTGAACTCTATTGTAGCAAAAACACTGCTTTTTACATTTAGCCCTGGTTTACACTAAAGCTGTGCGGTAAAGGCATTGCAATCGTACGGTGTCCATGTGATCTGCTACAGGTGTGAATGTTATGTTAGTGGTTGTGAAGGCTGAATGTTTTTTACCTTCATGCATTCTATCCAAGAAGATAAAAAATCCTTCTGTTTGCAGAAGCTCCCTCAGCCCCCTCAATACTTACCTGAACCTCATTGCAATCCAGCGATGCGAATGACAGCCTCGTTTGTCCCAGGTCTCTGCCTCCTCATTGGCTGAGACAGCAAGCGGAAGCCATTGGCTCCCGCTGCTGTCACTCACAACCAGTCAGCTAATGAGGAGAGAGAGGAGGTGGGGGCCAAGCCGCAGCTCCGTGTGTGAATGGACACACAGAGCAGCGGGTGCCCCCATAGCAAGCTGCTTGCTGTGGGGGCACCTGACAAAAAGGATGAACCAGGAGAGCCTGAGGGGAACACAAGAAGAGGAGGATCCAGGCTGCAAAACCACTACACACAACAGGTAAGTATAGATATGTTTGTAAAAAAAAAAAAAAAAAAAAAAAAATAATTAACCTTTAGAGTCGCTATAACCACTTGCCAACCACGCTATAGCCAAATGACGGATACAGCACGGTTGTCCAGTTCTGGGAGGGCGTCATATGACACCCTCCTGCACATCCTGGGGCCCGCAGCCGCAGATCTCCATGATCGCTGTGTCCTATGGACACAGCTGATCACGTGATGTGGTAATAGGCCAATCACAGCGGCCTTTTACCACGTAATCAGCTGTGTCCAATGACACAGCAGATCACTGGTAAATGCAGTTGCCGGTTATCTGCTGCACTTTCCTCATGCGGTCACAGTGTGTGAGGAAAGTACTGCTGATAACCGGCAATTGTCAGAAGACGGATCGGCACTGATGATCAGTGCCCAGCAGTGCCACCTACAAGTGCCCAGAAGTGTTGCCCACCTGTGCCCATCAGTGCCTAGTAGTGCCACCCACCTTTGCACATCAGTGCCTCCAGTCAGTGCCCAGCAGTGCCACCAGTCAGTGCCACCCATCAGTGATGCCTATCAGTGCAGCCTCATCAACACACATCAGTGAAGGAGAAAAAGTACCTGTTTGCTAAATTTTAAAATAAAAACAAAGAAAAACGTATTTTTTTCCAATTTGTTGCTCTTTTTTTGTTTATAGAGGCGAGTAAATACCACCAAAAGAAAGCTCTATTTGTGTGAAAAAATTAGAAAAATGTCATATGGGTACAGTGTTGCATGACTGAGCAATTGTCATTCAAAGTGCGACAGCTCTGGAAATTGGCCTGGGCACAAAGGGGGTAAAAATGCCGGGTAGGCAAATGGTTAAATCAATGACACCCCGTAACAGATCACAAAATGCATTGCGATCACCAGAATTTGCATCGCATGGGTGCGGACACCCATGGGATGCGAATCAGGTGTGGGGGAAAAAAAAAGGGTCCTGCACCTTTTTGATGTGGATATGATACGATTTAAGCCATACAAAATGTATGACTCAAATCGCACCGCAAAGACATTGCATGTGATTTGCACAGGAATGTGGTGCGGTTCCTGTGCAAATCACATGTGATGTGCCGCAACGCATTCGTTTGAACCAGGGTTTAGCAAAGTCCCTGACCCTTTCCAAAACCGCAGCTGCTGAAAGAAAGCATAGGTATGAATGTGTCCCATAGGAAACCATGTTAGATGGACTGTAGTGTTTCTGTAAAAAGTACTAATAAAACGCATCGGTGTAAACCAGGCCTATGAGTCAGGGTCAGCACCAAATCTGTTCATTTTTATCCTGGGGGGGCTGTTCTTTGAAAACCAGTGAAAAAAAAAAGAAGGAAATAAAGTGTAGTTCCTAACCCTCCACCTCCAGGGTAAGGTCAACGTTTTCAAGCACTGATCTAAACCGTTGACTTTGTGCAGAACACTCCAGATCTGATAGGTCCCTGTTCATAGATGGTCTTACCGTTAAATATTTGTTTAAATAAACAGAATGCATATAAACAGGTTTCGATAAAAAGGAAATGCGTGCATTTTCCACGAATGTCTTTTTTTCTATCAGAAATACCTGGTAAACACAGTCCCGAGTCTCTCCAGCCGGCTTCCTGCCATGCTCCAACCAAACACCCCTGTGCTCTCTGTCACATAGCTCGGCTATCAGGCTGTGCAGAAATTGCAGCATACACCAGCGGACATCTTTACTCCTGGAAGAACCGATTGCTGCAATTAGAGATCCAAGTTACAGCGCTACTGAAAAAACAAAATACATCCGAACAACCTAAAACATTTAAATATAATATAAACAACTCAAAATGAGAGTTACACCCAATTATAAATTGGCAAGCGTTTCCCATAAAAAAGATGGAGAAAATGCAAACACCTCTCTAGTACGAGAAAGGCATATTAATCAATAATCGAGTGCACCGATCGATGAGATCGGTGCCCTTCAGCGAGGGGTCATATAACCACCGGATTTTTTTTTTTTTTTTTTCTAAATAGAATCACGCTTCGACTTACTATACCTATAGCTTCCAATTAAAATGGATTTGGTTTTATTACTGTGAATCTGCCAATTCGCTTTGGTCTTCAGGAAGATGGCTCACAAGAGAGAAGGTTTGCTTGGCCGTCATTGCAGTGTCTTCAGCCAATGGGGAAGAGGTAGGCGTTTACTAGTGAGTTTGAATTGTTCAGTGCAATATAGCCCTTCCAGCATCTTCAACGGGGAGTCCAGGACACACAATTGGCGAGGTAACGTACCGCATTGCCCCTCACTGCCTTAACACCTCACACCTGACGACGGAACTTCCAGTCAGGAACCAGCCAGCTGATAACCTACCTGTATATTCTGTGTGTATTCATACAGGTAGCACCCAACATAGACTGAAGTAGCTGCACGTACACTATCCTTGAACATATGTTATCGGTAAGCAGTGTCAGGTATGAGCTCTTCACTGAGACCTGGTCCATGATACAACATAGACTGAAGTAGCTGCACATATACCAGGGGACTGACAACTCATGGGGCCCCCGGGCAATAGGGGATCATGGGGCCCCTGTGTCCTTGCCCAAACTCAAAAAAGCCTATGAAAAAGGTACCAGGGGCATCTCATGGGGCCCCCTACTGACCCCGGGCCCTTGGGCAGTGCCCGAGTTTCCAAATGGTCAGTCCGCCCCTGACGTATACTATCCTTGTACATATGCTATTGGTAAGCAGTGTCAGGTATGAGCTCTTCACTGAGACCTGGACTGGTATGAGCTCTTCACTGAGACCTGGACTGGTATGAGCTCTTCACTGAGACCTGGTCCATGATACAACATAGACAGAAGTAGCTGCACGTACACTATCCTTGAACATATGTTATTGGTAAGCAGTGTCAGGTATGAGCTCTTCACTGAGACCTGATCCATGATACAACATGGGCTGAAGTAGCTGCACGTATACTATCCTTGTACACAGTGGTGTATTTTGGTTTTGTGCTACCCTAGGCAAGATTAAAATCGGGCAACCCCATCTAAATCTGTCCCTCCCTTTGCTGTTTAAGATCCACCTCTTCAGGACAGGAGCATGATGGAGGGCAGTGTGACATGGGGGGGGGGGGGGTGTCACGGGACAGGAGGGAGGCAATGTGATGGGGGGCCGCAGGACAGGAAGGGGGAAGTGGGATGGGGGGGGGCAGCATGACGGGGGATATCAGGACAGGCGTAGGCCATTTGGACAGGTGGGGGGGTAGCAGGACAAGAGGGAAGCAGCGTGATAGGGGGAGGGCAGCATGATAGGGGGCAGCGTGACGGGTGGGGAAGCAGAGGGACAGGAGGAGGAGTGCAGAATGACAGGAGGAGTGCAGAGGGACAGGTGGGGGGCAGCGTGACGGGGGGCATGGGACAGGATCAGGACAGGAGGAGCACAGAGGGACAGGTGAGGGGTAGTGGGACAGGAGGAGCGCAAAGGGACAGGTGAGGAGCAGAGGGACAGGTGGGGGGCAGTGTGTAACTATTACGGTCTGTTTCCTTAAAAAAAAACATTAGTCAATTTCTTTGGAACCCTTAACAATAATACTTTGAACATTAAATTAACCTTTGATTATAGTAAAAGCAGTGTGAATTTTTTGGACCTAACATTAATAACCTTGGACGGCACTGTAGTGACTTCTTCCTTTTTTAAGGAAACAGACTGTAATAGTTACATTCCCACTAGTAGTTGTCATCACCCGTCATGGCTTTCAAATATACCTAAGGGTCAATTCCTGAGGATTAGAAGAAATTGTACTTCCATAGACACCTATTTATCACAAGCATCTGTGCTAAAAAAACAGATTTATAGAAAAAGGATATGATGAATCACGTCTTATCCATACTATGCATGAGGTAGCAAGTATGGAAAGAGAATCCTTGCTTGCTGATAATATATCACAGAGGCCACCTAAGATTTGCCCCTTTGTTACTACTTTTTCCAGACAATTCAAAACCATTTCTAGGATAATTAACCAGAATTGGAAAATTCTTAAAGCAGATCCGGTTCTAACTAAGATCCTGCCAAACAAACCTGAGATTACTTATAGGAGAGCACAATCTCTTAGGAACTTCCTAGCCCCTAATATTAATAATTCACCTAAGAATGTCTCCTTTCTTGATAATATGATTGGCTTTTTCCCATGTAACAAATGTATCATATGCACCTGTAATGGGAAAAGGAAAAAGAGAGTTGAGAACTTTACATCCACTAGTACTGGAAGGACATTTAAGATTAATAATTTCATATCATGCTATAGTAGACATGTTGTGTTTCTTCTGCAACATCCTTGCAAAAAAACAGTACATTGGACGTACTACCAGGAGACTTAGAGATAGATTACGGGAACATGTTAGCAACGTAAAAAAGGGCTATAAAGAACATTCGCTCCCAATGCATTACAGGACCCATCATAATAGAGACCCATCCTCCTTGACATTTGTATTAATCGATTATAGTGCAAGCCCATTGGAGGGGCACTAACAAAAGGAGGACAGTCTCACAGATGGAAACTAAATGGATTTTTCAGATGGAGTGCATGCGCCCGAAGGGGCTTAATATAGAACTGGATATCAATAGTTTTATAGATAATAGTTAAACTTTTTTATCATTAATATATTTTATCATTTTTTTTATTACAGTCTCTATACAGTTTAACATACACTTTATCTGGAATTTACATCATTTTTATTAATATTTATTTTTATTGGGTTGTCATATGTCATGGCGAAGTCTCTATACAGTTGCAAGAAAAAGTATGTGAACCCCTTGGGATTACGTGGAGTTTTGAATGAATTGGCATAAAATGTGCTCTGAACGTCATCTAAGTCACAACAATAGAAGAACACAGTCTGCTGAACATAATACTACACAAACATTAGATGTTGCCATGGTTTAATTGCACATAACATGTAAACATTCACAGTGCAGGGAGGAAAAAGTATGTGAACCTTTGGACTTAATAACTGGTTAAAACCTCCTTTGGCAGCAATAACCTCAACCAAACTTTCCTGTAGTTGCAGATCAGACCTGCACAACGATCTGGAGTAATTTTGGACCACTCCTCTTCACAAAACTGTTTCAGTGTAGCAATATTCTTGGGATGTCTGGTGTGAATCGCTCTCTTAAGGTTATGCCACAGCATTTCAATCGGGTTGAGGTCAGGACTCTGACTGGGCGACTCCAGAAGGCGTATTCTGTGCTG